CTCTTCATTAATAGAACCCAGAAGAAGAATCTCTTACTTCATGACCTGTGTCTGCTGCCCTGGAAGCAGCTGTTACATAGGAGTGGGGGTCCAGTTCAACAGTTCATTCTCAAGCAGGAAGCTGGGGAGATTGTCTCTAAATTGAGGACTGAAGCAAGAGTGGATTTTTCCAGACTGTCACTGCCGATAAAATGAGGTTTTCAATTACAATGCTTAGCACAGAGCAGCCTGCCCAGGGAAACCTATGTTCCAATGCTGCCAAGAGATATATGCTCAGCATAGCATTTATCAAACCATTTCCTCTGCTAAGAGTTAATGTGTCAGTCTTTAAAATGGCTTGCTCTTCTACCACCTTTCCTGATCGAAACGTGAAAAGTGCAACTTACTTTCTTTCACAAAACATCTTGTTGAGACTCTTGACTCCAAATTGACTGCCTCATAGGGAAAACCCGCTTTCTAGAAACTTAACCAGCAGTGACTGTTCTATCATAATCCTTCCTTACTGGAATCAGGCGGTCAAAACAGGGAGACAACAATCATTAAATAAAGTGTTTAAAGTGGACTGCTGAATTCAGTGGCAGCTTAAAAAAGCTAGAAGTCTGAATGCTATTCTAAGCACTCAGGACCCGCAAATTATTTTGTTTTAGCTGAGATTATGCTATCAGGTGATGATGACTGCAATAGACTGCTGTGATAAAAGCAAAATCACTACCCTTTCTGTCACAAGAACAAGCAGGCAAAGAACAAGTTTCACATGAAGACTGATCAAGAGCACATGATTAATGCCAAAAATGTACCAAAAGAACGGCTTTTTGGATTAACTTTGCTGTAAATGCCAGCAACCAAACCCACCCACAGGTACCAATTGCACATCTCAGTTTTACCTCATCTTAATGAAATCACTAATTAACTTATACTGATCCTGATGAGCATCACAGGATTTCCATTCTTCATAGGAGTCTAATTCACTGCTTTCGTTCAAACATCAATGTCTGTCTGCACTTGTCTAAGTACACTGTAACCACTAAATCATACAATCCATCATCGCTTTGTCAGTACCCTAGACAGAGAAGATCCTCTGAGAATATGCTTACAACATAAAGGTCACTTTGAAAATTGACTAAAGGCATGAATAAAAAATAAAACATTTAGTTAAGTCCTTTGAGGAGATGAGGTTGCCATTACCCTTTACTGTTTCAGCAAGCTCTTCAACTGCTTTTCAACACTACTGTGACACCACACAGGGAGTTTAACAGGACCTATTTATAGTGTATATAGAATATATATAGAATCAAAGCCAAAATTCAGCTTACTAACTTTCAGAAAGTTAGTACAACTGTCAGAGATTAAGAATCATTATATACTTGGCAAACTGACCTACTTCCAAATGATGTTGTCACAGGATGATATGTGCAGTGGGCGTATTTTAGCCAACAAAAGCTAGCAAAGTGCCAAGAGCTGCTGAATTTCCTGTTAAGAATTAAGAGCCCCTCCACACACATTTTCTGCCACAATATATGGCCCATCTTTTTGTCAGCACAAGTGTTCCTTGAAAAACGAGGGCTGAAAAAAAATCACCTGGCATCATTTCTCATGAAAGGTAAGGAAATTAAAGGAAATGAAAGCAGCTACAAAGTAAGAAGAGATGATCTGAGGGTCCTACTGGCTAACACACTTCTGAAGTAAAGCACAATTCCAGTTTTATACTTGGTGCGTGAGTACCATGTAAAATAGAAGTGCAAAAATGTAAAAGTATGAAAGACAAATGACATTTTATCTGTAGACATAATCATCCCTCATGGGTGTCATCTCTACTTACAAATTAATCACTAGAGCATGCATATCCAAAGACAAGGCTAAAAATGGGGTGTAATTTTTCACTAAATATGCTTGAAACAGCCAGTATGTTTCACAGAGGAAAGAAGAGGTTTGTGATGTATTTGGTAGTTGCTTCACAAAAGCAACCTCACAGAAACTGAAGGGAAATCCTCGACATTGACTGCAGTGTACAGTTATGGCTTGTGCCAGCCATCAGTAGAAACCTCAAAGTTTAGTAACACAACCGCAAGTGAGTGCATTGCCAACACTTACTGAGTTACCACTTTCTGGCCAAGATAACAACAGCAGAGTAAATATGATGTTCTAGTCATTGCAAACACAAAACAAACTGTATTAGTATAAACCCACTTAGTGAAATGTAACTTGCTAAGCCCCTGAAGCTTGGCACTTGTGACTGTATGAACATATCCTCTCTGTCTTAGCTAGTATAAACAGTGTGAGACTTGTAAACAAAGTAAAATCAATATTTCTAATCAGCCAGCAAAAGCAATGGGTATAGGGAGACAATTACCATCTCTGGAGCTCAAAATCCATCTACCATATAGATGCATAGCTCCTGGTTTATGAAAGTACCTGGAAGTAAACTTACTGATCTGATTGTCATCTGCTAACATATGTGACCTCTTCTCTTTTCTCAATGTTGCCAGTGAGGTTATCTAAACAGCATTCTATCTAGTCATCCATTTAACTGTACTGCTTTTTATCAGAGAAGAAGCTAAGCTGGCTGGATCTAATTTAAATTAATCTTTAAATTTTTCTTTTGGCTGAATGATCAAAAAAAAAACCCTGTCAAGAACTCAATTTTGCTTAGTTAGATATCTACAGAGAATACTACACTCACATCTTAGCCTTCTGATTTGTTTAATGAGAAAAAGACACAGTACCTGGACACAGTCTCTGACAGAAATAGGAAGCTGAAGGCGGTGTATAGTTGTTAGCAAGAAAAGATCAAAATTTCATCACAAAAAGGAGTTTTCATTTCTTCTGTGTTCACAGCTTATTTGCTTTTATGCACAATAATGCTACTAGACCTGTTATGTAGATTATTCCATTGCTTATGAGTTTTAACACCTAAAATCAAGTGCAAACAAAAAAATGTCTGTAGCAGGCAGCATCCAAGTCATTTTCATATCACACACTTAAAAAAAACTCGAAACAAAAAGGACAACCTTCTTCAGCACGAAAATCCACAAACTCTCCTTATAGCATGTGAAACAAGTACAATCAAGAATCAAAAGAAGTTGCTACTTTCTAACAAAATTAGAGATATTTTTATTTTTTAGTTTAAATTTCAAATGGTTATATGTTGAATATAAAAAAATGACATCTAATTTTTAACATCTGCATGCATTTGGTTTCCATCACTAATCTTTGAAAATAATAACATTTTAAGTAAATAAGCTTCTAAGATCAAAACAGAAGACATGAATGAGCCACGGAAGGATTCTTTGATTTTATTCCCCCCCCCTCCATTAATGGGTAGAGTCTGATTTTGCTTACACTGTTAACTATACAGCCTTCAAATATTTACTGTGGACAAAATCAAAATCAGCCCATTAGCCAAGACGACACTGTTACACCTCAGCAAAGAACAAGACAGCAAACATAACATGGCTAATTTAAAACAGAGAGCAATAGTTGAGGCAAGTGATGAATTACAGAACCTTTTATGTCAATTTTGATTGCACAAGGAAAGTTGCCAGAGTAGTTGAATATATCCAATTATACAATCTTTTTAAAAAAATTATAGATACATAACAACAGCACACACACACAACCCCACCCCCCAGCCTGAATATGGGTCAAATTCTCAAAACTGCACTTCAGCCCTTGAAACTTTGCTGTTCTCATGATGCCCAGAGCTGTCCCTGTGAGAAGTGCATGAGAGTCCCTAATCTACATTGTTTGGCAAACAGAAATATAAAATTGGCAATAAAAAAAAAATTATAAAACATTATCAAGAAATCTAGATGCAGCTTCACAATGAACTGCAGGGAAGGGATAGTCTGAGGAGAGAGACAGCTGTTTCCCTACACCATGTCTGTAGTACAGAGCACTACTGGAAGAAGGGTACTGCAGCCTACTTAAATCTATCTTGAGAACACATATTATAGCATAAATATCAGGACACTTCTGAGACACACAATCTTTGTAACCACTCTCCCATCTGTGATCCTTTTCACTTAAAATCTGTAAATGAAGAACAGCCTACAAAAGTCACTGCTGGATCATTTAGTTTCATATAGAAGTTTACATCTCAGTTACTTAACTGGAATCCCAAACACTTCACTGGTGAATACTCTCATTTGGTAATTGAGTTCAGACAGCTACCATATTAAAAAAACCTGTCAGAAATGTTTCTAAATTATTAAAGTATTTTTTTTAAATAAAGGGGAAATGTGAAAACTAACTTCCCAACCTGTAGGTTATACTGCGTGTTGTACTATCTATTGCTTCTAGGAAGACAGCATCAAGGTTGTTGTCAGACACCTAAAAGTATCTTCCCATCTAGAGTTTTATTGTGGACTGGTAACATGGAAATTTTTACTGTAAAGAAATATTTCAGTTTAGTGAATGATTAAAGACATTATTTCCTAAAGAAGCATTTGTACACAGAATTTTGAATTAAAATGAAGAAGAGCCAACATGAGGTTTATTTTTTTTTCAAGTTACATTGTTGAAAAAAGTACTAGCATTTGTATTTTAATTACCAGGGTTGTAGACTTCTGTAAACCAGTCCATATCAAAACATGTTGGAATTCTGGACATCTCTTTCAAAGCATAACAGCCTGAATCCGAAAACATTAACAAATTTCTATTTCAATCTATAAAACCTTACTGTACATACATAAAATTAGGACTTCTCAAAGGCTTGTACTGCTTGCTCTTTTACATCTCACGTGTTACTTAATAACTATTAGAAATGAACAACAAATGCAGGGCAATATGAGTCTTTGTGCTTTCCTAACATGTCTACATTGCGTTTATTTCTCTTCTTGCCAGCAAAATTCCTTAATAAAAATGTACATGTTCGAATATTTGCCCTGAATGCCAAGCTACTGCATGGATTATGAAAGGGTGTAGCTGATAACACTTTGCCAAACACACTACAGGAAAAAAGCAAAACCAACATGGCTATAGTATATAAGTGACATACTTACTATTTATATGTTTCTGAACGAATGTATTCAAACACATGAGATACTCCCAGCTGGAACTGGTCAGCAATAGGGGTAACCCAAGGATTGTTCTCTGCTTTGAAGACTTGCTTTTGACCAGTCAAATCCAAATTACCTGAAAGGGATTAAACAAAACAGCATAGGAAAACAGTTTGACACATGAAAAATATGAAAGAAATAGCTTGCTGTGAATATAAAACTTTTCATTCGTTTCAGAGACTACAACCATAATGGAAGCAAGTATTTTAGTCTTAGCAGAGAGGAACAGGAGGACACAGGAGTTCCCACCATTATGGATGATGGATGCAGTTCCACCCTATACATCTCAGTGCTAATACATATTGCACAGCAGGATTGAACTCAGCCCACTACATATAATATTTATTCATCAAATGAGTTTTAAGTAGGGCTTAATAGTGCATAGGTGTTGGGCCCTCTCTAACACGGCTTGCAGGAATGAAAGGAGAATGACATTGTGGTAAGAATTTGCCCTGCTGAAGCTTAGCATTGCAAAGCATTTCTCAATCACTGCTCCAAGCATAAGGTCAACAAGTGATGGCCAACAGGCTTTTTGCCTTTCCAGTGCCCAACGTATTGTTTGTACTGAGATCCTACCACTGATCCATGGTTATAGTTCTCCATACTGAGAAAAATAAAAACGTCATTCTTGCAACATGCCAGTTTTACCTATTATGTTGACAGGAAGACTTAGGAGACCTTTTAGGGGTTTACTTGGGGTTGGTTTGTTTGTTTTGTAAATGTTTAGCATCCAAAACTGAAACAGTACATGTTCTACTGAAACTCCTCATGACTATGGATAACACAAGCTGAATTCCAGGATGGTCTAGCCATTGAAATATTTTCTTGTGTTCTTTAAATTAAGAAATCTATGCTACCATTTTAGATTTATTTTAGTGAATTTTACAATTAAGAGAGGCCTACCACCCCACCACCACCACCACCCACCCCCCCGAAACCTAAAGTAACAAATAAAACCAAATCAAATCTTTAACTATGGAAAACAAAGCAACAAAAAATTTACAAGGTTTTGAAGACTTACTGAGCCAAGCTGTCAGAGAAATATGAAATCAACCTGAAGTACTAGTTTTCCAAAATTAAAGGCACCTGTAGCATGACCACACATGAGAGCTATGAGAGCTGCTGCAAGCAGTGTGCTTGCTGGCCATTTCAGTGCATGTTCTACATTACAGCTAATCCTTAACGGGTTTCTCTCCCAAGAAAGGGTTAACACAATTAGAGTAAAGACAGACCATTATACCATGTGAAAAGATGTCATGCATCTCATATTGGCCTATCAACAAGTTACCATTACCTTAGCAAGCTCATCTGTCAGCTGTCTGAGGCCTGTTCTTTTGAAATAACAACAGGCAGGGAGCATTTCACCCCTCTGTCAGTCAGGCGGCAATTGCCCTCACTGCCTCACGCTTCAGTGCGCCTCGTTAGGAGCCTCGCACCCATCTCCTTTATTAAGGGACTCAGCAGCCCTGTTCTAACAAGGATCAGGAAGCAGGATTAAGTACTGTGACAAAGAGGACCTAATAAGCTAGAAACTGGAGAATCTAAATCTATGCTGGCTGGCTCTAGGCGCAGGCTCACGCTGCTCACTATTCAGTTTGCAGGCACAGGCCACCGGGGAAGCAAGCCAGCGCTGTGATTAGCTGTAACCCTCTGACCGGTGCTGCTATGAAGATCATGTATCACTCAGGGGCTTGCTTTGCAATTGCAAATTGGATTTTCCATTTTATTACCTGCAAAAAACCCACATACATTGCTCTCCAAAACTACCAATGCTGTAAGCACTCACTTGTAATTACAGCTCTACAAGTACTGCGTCGCGGTAAAATGATCAATCTGTGTACAACTAATAAAAATAGTTAAATCTAGGGAGGCAAGCTTGGCCCCATCATGGGTCAGATTCAATGTTCCTTATAGGAATAAGTCACACGTTCCCAAAATCTCAATAGCCAGGATCTCAGCTGAATCATTTTGTCCCAAGCTGTGTCAGAAATTTACCACCCAAGGGATGCTGCCATATTTTTCCATTCCCACAGCGTAGTGTGCCCACTTCCATTCCAAATACCATATGGCCCATTTAAACATAATTAATTGTAATAAATACTTTTGTACTAAAGTCAGAGAACTCTTACAGCAAAAAGGGGACTCAAGCAAAATCAACTGTAGGTCTCCATGCCAAAGTAAGTAATCACTTCATTTTCCTCCATATTCTATTTTTTCCCAAAACACACTGTGGGCAGGTACAGATGTTACTTTTTACCTTCAGGGAGAAGGAGCAGGCAGAGGCCCTAAGGGTAAAATTAATCTAATTACTGAGAAAACTGGGGCACCCAAAAGTCTATAACCTGCACTGAAATCCACCCCCTCCCTGCCCAGGATGCCCCTCTGTGAGTCCTCCTGGCATCAGCTGGCCCAGCAGCCCATCCCACTGGCCACCTACACCTGCAGCAAGAGGTCAGCTGCCACCTCACAGCTTGGGCTTTTAATTGAAGAACTGAATGTTGTAGTGTGAAAAGGAACAACCTGTCTGTCCCTATGGCAAGCACCAGGCAGAGCGTGGGTGCTCCTCCACAGGGAAGTAAAGGAGGGTGGTCTCACAGAAAGCAGGAAGGACAGGGCACCTGATGCCTTAAACTCCTCCCCTGTTCAATACTGACATTTCCATCTGGAAATGAAGGACACAAATGGGCAGAAAACTAAGGAGGATAAGAAGTCATGGAGAGCCTGCCCCACCCTTATCAGCACTAGGGAACAAGCAAAGTCTAACACTCCCACCATAAGGCAAGCCACTTGAGAACAAAGAAGCAACATAATTAGAACAGAGACAGGATGAAAACACGTCACTGCTGCATAACCGTTTATTGCTACATTCTGGTGTCTGTTCTGCACTTACAACTAAACCACGTGTGAATCAAGGGTTTACCTAATTCTGCCCCGGCTACAGGACATCCAGGAGCCCCAAGCATGAGGCCAAAGTCTCGGTAATGTCTCAGGAGCAGTACATGCTGGGGCAACCAAGCACATGGGGAGCCCTGCACGAACCCTTCCGCCCCAGTTGTGAGAGATGAGAAACCAGGCCTGTGAGAAACTAAGACAAACAGCCTGGGAAAGCAAAAGTTGAGGCTGATTGAAGAAATGCCTCAAACACTCACAAGACAGAACTCTGAGTCACAGGGTGCATTCTGTGGAGGCTGAAGCTGATAACGCTGCCCGATGTAGCTGGGGGAGAGCCCTGTGGAGACAGGACAGCTCTCCTCTGGGGCACCTGGGCAAATTTCAAGGGCCATGTGTCCGGTGAATGAACTTTGCTTCATTATCCACGAAATGCATATTAAAGTTAACACCCCTCAATATGCTAACGAGGGCTGTCATGATCATGCTAATTACATCATCCCATGAAACACCTTACCCCTCCCCGTACATGGGATACGTAGCTATGTGGGTCAACCTAGGGGACGGACCCAAGGAAAGTGGGTATAAATCAAAGGGGGGAAGAAAGGGCTCACTCTCTCTCTGCCCCTCTCCCTGCCCCCCCTCTGCCCTTCAGCGAAGAAGATGGATGCCAGCCAAAAAGACGGCTGCCTCCTGGAACCCTCGCCGGTGGGATGAGCGCAGGAACCCAGACCGGTGATCTGTATTCCCCCATTCCCTCTATCTCCCTCTTTTCCTTTTTTCCATTAAGAAATGCAAGGCATATTATATTGCTTGCCACAATTTGCTATATACTTAGCCAATTACTGTGTGTTCAATTAGTACATTGTAGGTATTTAACAAATGCTTGAACTTGGAGACTTGTTGTCCGCTCCAATTGGGGATTTGCGAATCTGAGTCAATTGTCCCCCCTTGTCTGAGCGGGACGTGACACCAGTGCACCAAGACAAACCCAGCCACGTGGAAGAGATGATCAAGCCTGCCTGAAGCAATGGCTCTGGTACGAGGCTCGCTACAGGAGTGCTGTGCAACTGGACCTTACAGATGTGTCCCTGTCATCCCACCAACCATCTCCTTGTCTGGAAGGTTTTTTGTGGCAGCACTGTTCTAAGAAATGGTGTTATTCCATCCCTGCAGCACTAGAGCTACAGGGCAAGAAAAGAGCCATGGCAGATGCGCCTTTATGCATATTGTCTAACGGCAGCATCAGCAGAACAGTATCCCCAGGCCTGTAGGAAATTTATACACTGTTCTGTTACACGCATCACATCAAATCCCTCAGATATTTTTAGTAAGGAAAATACAAAATTGCCTCTAGTAAAAATCCAGTACTGAAGATTCAATCACAAAATGTATTAGGGTTGGAGATTGCATTGTTCATTGCTGGTTTGTTCTTTCCATGTACATCAGCGTATTACAAAATATTTGTTTATCTTCTCTAAAATTTGGCCTAACTAATAGATTAAAATCCTATTTCTTCATAATGGACTTAAGGTTCTTATTATTTTGCCATACTGAAAGAGACCAACTCCACTGAAATGCATTATAGTCACATGCCTCTGGTAAGAGAAGAAGAGAAGGCTGTAAGACTAGTCAGCACAGCCCCTTTCCTAGATCACCAAAATGTTTTTCAAATTATTTTTAAGCACTTCTAAAATTATTCAAATAAATAAATAAATAATCAAAACTATATATCCCAGAACCCAGGTCTAACATGCTTAAAGAACCTTCTAATTTCTAAGTCTGAATGATACTTCTTTTAAGCTTTCTATCTTGAACGGACATAAATTTCCAAGTAGGAAGAATGCAAAGCGGACATATACTGCTACCAGTGAGAAGATGCTGAAAAGAGAACAGTCAGGAAAAAAGGAGAGCAGAGATAAAGGTCTAACAGCTGACTGCTGTGGACAACCTGCACAGAATGACCAAAAGCTTCTAAAAGGAGCCAGCTGTGTGGTCTCAGAAATACCTGATCTTGGCATTTTCTTTTTTTCTATCTCAGCACTCATTGTGTCTAAAGATGATCCTGAACTATTAAGTTTACTTGGATCAGTGTGACTGAACTTCTGTGTTTAACCCACCTTAAAACCAAATTGTTCCTATGCTTAACTAGTAAGCTGTACAGACCTGAAAAATTTCTGCTGTCCA